ATCAACGTCATACCCACTAGACCTTTTCATTGGTCTCCGTAATAACGACGTAAAAATTCATTAAAAAGTAGACACTGTGTATCCGTAAACTTTATCATGGAAGGGACGAAGTGAAAAAACTTTTTATTTTTGTCTATAATCTTCCTCTCGTGCCTCGTTAGTACGATGTTTCTACAACGCTAATATTACAAACATTCACATTACACAACCGTTATTCAAGAAACATTTCGCAGAAGTCCAAAAAAACATGAATGGAAATTGATATCGAAGAAAATAACGTAAAGATATGAAGAGAAAAGATGGAAACGAAGTAGGAAAAGAAACTGATTCCTCTGAAGTCTCGAAAGTTTCTTCAGCTTCCTGTAACAACGTGATGCATTCTAAGTAGGCAGTTGGCCAACTGTTTGATATGCGAAAAGATCTGCACTGCGAAAATTGGACAATATTACTTCATTGCAGGCATACGGAACGTTGGGTTACCCTGCATCTATTCTTAGATGTCACCATATCGATTACCCAATACTTCCGCGCACGTATGCGTCCGAGCATGGAAAAGACACGTCAATGGAAACGTCTGGATTTACTACTTTTTTTTATTTCTCAGGACACGCTAAAAGCAGTTGTATTTTTACAACGCCTTCCGAGTCAATAAATTGCATGATGTCTGCGCGGAAAAGCCATTTCCTTGAAAAAACTAACTGGCGTTCATCGAACTTAGAAGGCGAGTGAATCGACTAGAATCCAAACGAGCCGGCGAAATCGCTTATTTTTGTAACTCAAATCTAGCAAGGCGAAAGAAATATCAGATGATAAAAGCGATAGCATCTAAAAGGTTATCGCAACAGCAATAAGAAAGACGCAACGGCGAATAAACATGATCAAATATAGGGTGCAAATGTGATGTCCATGTAGTCAATTTTCGGAGAAATTATAATATAATTATGATAGAAGAATTCCCACGTAAATAATTGCATTATACATCGAAAAATAAGGCGTCTGAGTGGAATTATTTATTTGCACGACCACCTATTTTCCAGAATAATGTCAGTTTCTTGGTACAGTCGGATTCCAGCCGATATAATAGTTTACTGTAGAAGTAATGAAAAATTCAACGACTACTTTCCATCGCAGAGACGGAATTTTCCTTGATTTTCTCTTTAAAAAACGACTGAAATAGACAATAGATGGTGTATTTTTTTTATATTATCTCGATCAACCTTTCTGTGATTCAAGGAGAAGAAGAGCTTCTACGCGGACATGTTATCTTGTTCCGTTGCCTCTTTAACGTGATTGATTTTTAAGGTTATATTATAACCAAATTCTAAAGGCTCAAACACAAAATGTTTATACTAATATACGATTAGAGTGTCAAAAGCAAAATCTATTCTTAATACCATCAAGATGAAGGACAATCGTTAAGAAATAAAGTAGACAATAAAAAGTATTAAATCGCGATTGAACATAATAAAACCCATGTACCTAAATAAAAAAAAAAAACACCCATGTACCTTGCGCCAATAACACACTTCCACTAACATTAATATTGGAAAACATTGAATGTTATACAGAGAGAATTTAGATTATTAGGTACAATTTCAAATAACGGTAACATGATCAAATAAATCATAACAAATCCATGCCATTATTGACGTAGAACTTTCGAACTATTGATAAGCTTTTTCACTGCAATAATATACAGGATGTCAGGTATGAAGCGCAATAGAGTAGTACCGTTGCATTCCTTGGCAAATTCTAAGGGATACGTGTTTTTGCGTTTTTGATTTCACGTATCAAAATTACGAGATAACCGACTTTGAAGTTGCAGTAATGGTAACCAATGAGAATAGTTTTAGATGGAGCGTGGAAGGGGAAGTCCGGCCTAGCCACTGACGACGCCAGCCAGCCTGCAAGCCGTGGTTACACTAGGCCAATAATATTACCAGTACCTTAGCGTTCCTGTTTATCTGCATGTAATTGAATCAGACACAATCATGCTCACAGTACTGGCAGTGAATTTCGAAACGTATCCTTCTAATGAACCGAAATTATCGACCCGTGATAAACGTTAAGAGTCGATATAGTTCTAGTCGCGATCCTAACGTGTCACCAAATTCGCTGTGTATTCCCACCTGTACATAAAGTAGTCCTCTCGCTTACGAGCCAGCTACTCGTCAATTTCGTTTAATAACCTGTAAACCGAACGGACGGTAGCGGTCTCGCTTATACCTAAGGTACGTGTGCGACCATAATAACTCGTTAAAATTCTAAATATAAGAGTGTAACAATTTGTATTATACTTAAGGCGATAAGGGCCAACAAATCAGGAGCCAGTGTCCCAGAATCCATGGACTTTAATAAAAGAACAAAGGAATATATCTGGAGGAGCTGAGCTATAAAACCATACGGACTATCGTAGGGATAAGATGGCGATGCTGATAGAAAACTCATAATGTGGGACGGACGATTTCTAATCCCGATAACTTGACGAAGTATCGTTATTGTGATTTTACGTATCTATAGAAACAATAAAGATATTTGAGGTGCAAACGTTAGGTGACTCACCCGGTATATAGATTTGTAAAAAAAATACAGGGTATATATTTGGAATATTACAATTGGCGCCCTACGTTTAGGCACGAAAAAGGATTTGTCTTTTTTTAGTGAACTCATATTTCGTATACTTCGCAATTTGTTGTCGTATGATAAATGTGATCATGAAACTAATATGAACGTGAAACATTCTCCAGCAAGAACTGGAAATCAATTGTTGAAAATCAAAGTAATGAATTGCCAGCTAAAAAGCAAAGAGTGTCATTACAGAATCACCACGCGATAGTGACTCCGGTGTGTCTATTGTAGAGAGGCTCGCTGAGCATTGAGAATTGGAAAAATATTTCCAAGTCAAAGATGTTCCAAATGAAATAAAGTTAAATATTGTAGAATCAGGTTTATCCGGACAGGCATTAAGTTGGTTGGTTGTCCGAAGAGAGGATTTTCGTAACTATCAACATTTTGAACAGTTGTTTGAGTCGGAATTTTACTCGCTCCCAGTTAGAATCCGTGTGAAAAATTGGTGGCAGGAGAGAAGATACCGAAGTTCAGAAGGAAGTTTGTTGCCTTATTTTTATGATCAAGTCATGGGAGCGCAATATTTATCACCGAAGATAGGGATATACAAAATGCACTACGCAATCATTCGACAGTTACCTATGCGCGTTAAAGAGATCCTAGTGGCGATAAACTACGCTGATACTACTGTAATTGTATGTACAAGCGTTAAAACAGTTGGACAAGTCTCGCAAATATGATTCTGAGCGAGAAAAATCGAGGACTTAATAATCGGGATCACGCTAATGATCGTTCAATCTAAAGAAATTAATAAAATTAGCGGGAATGAAAATAATAGAAGCAACGCAAATGCTAAGAGGAAACGATCGAATATATGCAAAATAGGGGGATTGCTAATAACACGGAACAGACTATTGAAGACACTGCGTGGAAATGTGATGAGGAAAGATATATGACAATGACACTTCCTGATACTCGGTTCCGTCCACCTGCGAATAACTCTGAGAATAACCCGAATAAGGCTTTAAACTAGTGAGGGATGCGGTAGGTTATGGTTCGTCATCGCCCCAATATTCGTACGATTTTCTTAATCAAATTGAAGCGGACCTAATAAAGTAGTCAAATTCAAATAAAGAGCGTAGTAATAAAGCGTGCTTACATGACTTAATGACGGTGCAAGGATATGTCTATACAGCACTAGTTGACAGTGGGAGCCAGCTCACTTGTATTTCCGACGGATCCTACCAACAATTAACGAAACTTTGCAATTTACCTGAGCTGCCAGTAAAAAATGTGCAAGTCATTACAGCGGTAAGAAAAATGACAACAACGATTAAGAAATAAGTTGTTTTGTCATTGTACATTGGAAAAACGCGATATGAATATATTTTTCTAGTAACTCCGGATTTAACGTCATCAATTATTTTAGGAAACGACTGGTTGAATAAGCATCGGGAAATATTGAATTATAATAATAGATCGGTAATGCTCGGCGAGTTTGTCATTCCGTCGGAATTAGTTGTATTTGGTGGTACGGCCAATCAAAAATTATCTATTTCTCGTTTAAATGATATAACTTGTATTATTATAGAAAATGGATACATCCTTAATCGAAAGATATCATTCCTCATAATATCCAATGTAACACACGCACAAGCACTCTGACTCGTCCGTAGGCAATCTTTATTAATGCCGAGTAGTAAATATTTACTAGTATTAACTACTTTCGTAAGACTTACGAAATCTTCCGTAGTTCAATTATAGATACAGTAGTAACTATTAGTATATACTAATTACTTATACAGAAAATACTGGACCCTCAATATTAAGTACGATATCTGAATAGTTAATATTATGGTGCCAATAGTGACTACTGGGTCCCCTGTAATGGTTTTCGGTAAGGGGAAATATTCAATTATAGGTTAGTATTGTTGATCGTAAAACGGCCACGGAAGATTTAATTAAAACAAAGTGGCTACCAGACATTAGTGGGCTTCTGTTAATTTGCTGTTTCGGGTTTTCCGTTTCCAGCTATCACGCGCAATAACTACTCAACTTGTATGCCCTTAAATTTACCCTTAAGTCCTTAAGCAAAATATGCAATTGATTCTTCCGTGATCTTAACTAATTACTTAGGACAATTTATTTATGTTGTATTTCGTCTTATACATTTTGTACAGTCGTTTAATTCCATTTTAACGGATACTGTGAATTTATAAAGACGACCACTTTTTATCAATTAATTATTCTGTTTTTTCACATACGTACAGATTATAACTTCTTTCTCTAGAATATTACAAATTCTTTCTATATACATAAAGGGAAATCCATACCCTGCTTGTAAGGTGTATATTCTTCGCAATAGATGATTGATCCAAGTAAAAATGACTAGATCTCGAAATGAAAAATTATAATTTTACTTCCATATCACGTATGGCTGACATGCAGTGAAGTTCAACCTTGAAATTCGTTATATGTGGTGGGATGATCGCCATTGCGAATGGTTTAAGATTTTCAAATAATACATTCAGGAAAAATAACTCTCGGAGTCAATAAATGGGTTTAATTAATTATCATATTGTTGCTCCAATTTATATTTCACGATTGAAAATGTTAAAATATCAAAGAGATCTCAGAACAGTCTCGCACTCATCTCTTTGGTCTCGATGAAATAATTCTCCTTTCGATTAAGTATCAGTCAAGGCTTTGCATCAATTTTACGTCTCACTGAAGTCCCCCTATAGCATTAATCAAAGGGTCCATTGTCAGACAGATTGTGATTTCACGTCCAAGCAGCAAAAAATGACAATGTATTTTGTTGTTTGCGTAATTAGCTTGAATCTAATATTATCATGTATCACAAGTCCCAATTACTCAAGGTATACGCACTAAGGTCTTTTTTGTAACGAATTCTCGAAGAATATCCCGTAACGTGTCGCCAGAGGGCACCTTAAAATATTATTTTTGTGACAAATGACAATAAAATTACCTAAAAATTTAAAATAGTGACGTCATAGGTATCTAAAATATTTTCAAAGAAGGGGTAACCTATTAAAAAATATTTTTGAAGCAGGTTAACAGTGTCATCTTTCGTAAAAAAAAAAAAGACCAGACGGGCTTTTCTTTAAGCATTCGTTACAAAAACTGTTTTATCTAGCTGGTACGAATGAATATAAGACTCGTGGGATTGGTGGACTCATCTAACGGCTCGTATACCCAACTTCACACTCGTGTCATATACTTATTCGTACTAGCCAGATAAAGTAGTATTGTCTGTTATAATTCTATTTAACGTATCGAATAACTGTGAAGTAGCTCATATCACAAGAATATTAAATTCTAATGAAAAGCAATTCCATTAAATCCACTATAATATGCATTGATTGGAAATCATTATTTACTTGATTCATTTGTTACAAAGTTTCAATAAACTGTATAAATTAGTAATTTCAACCTTACACTTTTTTTTAAATCAAAATTGAACGTAATATCATATCCACGAAGTATACATTTCAGCGAATCTATTGGATATTTCTTTCAAGTGGGAGAAGGTACTTGAGAAGGTACGACTATAAAAACAAATCCAACTAATCCATATGAAATTTTGTTATGTTCTTGGCAGGTACATAATCTTTGTGCGAGCAAAGCTACTAAAAGATCGATCGTTCCGTTTCTGAGATATTCGTAGTGAAAATATTCGCAGTCATTTCGGCTACTGAACCGTAAAGATTCATGCACTTTTTATAAAATTATTTCACATCGAAAATAACTACCAGTTTTTTAATCGAGATTGTTGGAATTATTTTTTCAACTTATTACAATTATGTGTAAGCAATATGCAGTGTAAAAATTATAAAATTTACATATCTCTATCTTCGGCTTGGTTCAATAATAATATGTTACGTAGCAAATATTTTTGACTGACATTATACTGTTTATTCACGAAAAGAAGGAAACTACTATATACTATAGGAAACAGTCATATTTCCTTAATTCGAATCAATATCTGTTTAATTATTTCACATATATATCGGATTATTCATACCCAATTCTGGTAACACTATGTTAGGTGGTGCGTTTGGGGGGAATTTTCTGGGTAAACAAATATTTGTACTCAACTTTTTTTAGCCTAATGCAGTAAACAGGAAATTGAAAAAAGTAATAACGTAATACATGATTGATCAAAATTCTGAGGTCTAAGAGACCACGTCAACTGACGTAATATAAAAAGGATGTTGCAAGCTGATATTGTACAGTGATAGCGTTGCATTAAGATTATTAAAAAAAAAAAAAAACATTCGCGCGAATTATGTCACCAAAGGAATCAAACAATCTCCAGCGTGAGATGATCTCTCGCTCCATATGAAGTCCCTCATCCAGTCGATCGGATATAACCAGTAACTTAATATAGCTCAGCCGTGTCGTTAACCGATGACACTCGTTAAGCTGCCTCCCGTGCTCGCTATGAGCCAACCCCAAAATCATTGTGGACTAATCAATTAGCCGAGCTGCTTTCAACGCAGCTCGTCACCGACTCGTGGCCCAATAGTAGTCGAGATAGATTGATTACGCAACTCGAGATACACGAGTACTCACGATTAGAGGTTCTAAGCTTTCAGTAGAGTATCATCTTTCTCCCTCGATAAGGTTAACAAAGGGTACGTCGTTCCGAAAGTCACTGCCAGTATTACGAGTATCGTTGTGCCTTTGTTTACTTGAATGCAACAAAACGAGAAACGCGGGCAATGAATTTCCGAGTGTACAATACATTCGCAGTCACGCAAAGTCCGAATGACAAAAAGATTAACTAAATACATAGATTTGAAAAAAACTGCACAATAAAAAAAAAATCAATTTTTGAACAAAACGCCCAATGACATTTTTATGGTCATTGATTATAAATCTGTACTCAAAATAACGAAATTCCAAAATATCCAAAGTGGCGATACGAAATAGATAAAGAATAGACTTTTTAATTATTGGTACATTAGTAGGTGCACCATTTTGACCTTTATGTATTTTTATTTATCGCATCACAGAATGCACACATTTTAGTAAATTTTCAAAGACAAAAATTTTAAAGACGATTGAGCCTCTCGCGTCAGGATGTAAAGTTTCGCATTAGCCTAAATGCAATAACTGGATGCTCCGCCCGAGTAGTGCGAAAAACCACGAGAAAACGTAATAAAAAAAAAATCTCTGGCATTTGCCAGTGTATTTCGCGTGCAAACATGTAACATTTATTGAGCGAGCAGCATTTCCGTAATGTGGAGCCATGCAAGCGTAATAGCTCTTCTGCATATCTAGACATTTGGGGAAACATAAAGTGCCAGAGCAAAAATTCTCTCACGAATTCCAGTAATACGTTTTTCTTCATTTTCTTTTTCGCTGTTTTACTTCGTCCGCTAAATCGCCCTAACAACCCGTATAAATACATATGTAGAGCTGAAAGTAGCAGATTTGTGTTTCAACTAAATGCAAAAGTAAAAAGAAGGATTTTCAAGAGCTTATCGATATTATCGTTGCCAAAAGTTTCCTCGACGAGCAACATTAATTGGTTCAAGGAGAAACCGGTAACGGGCAACTTGAACTTCTTCACTATTGAAAACAAGTCGTATCGCTGGCACCCGATAAACTCCGTTTCTCTTTATTAAAAAATTCCGTTTAATTGATGATACTAGTAGCACTCCCGATATTGTTATCCTTATCACGAACCAACCCCTTACTTTTCTTTAATACGGTCGCCAGAAAGGACAAAGGGTGCTGTGTCAAAGCAATTATTCATCGAATACAGGAAGTGACCAAGTTTTGATAAAGCGAATCGCCCTGTTCGCTTAAATACAATTAATTCAAATGTTCGCAGCACATTTAAACGATACAAACGCTTCTTCCAATTTCATGTAAATATTTTACCATTCGTTTCAATATTCAAGACCATCCATTTCCTCGTTATTTATGATTTTCAATTACTAAAACTTCACCGCTACCGTCGATATATCCGTTTCAAGGAATGGAAAAATAATAAAGCAAAAACTTAAAAGAATAATACAAAGATGATTGTTTTACGGGGACCAGATAGCAATACACAAACTGAAAAAAAAAACAATTTCACTGCGTATCATAGAACGCAGTGAAAACCCCATTCTTTCGTAACGACGGCAAACGTAGTAATTTATGCATTACCCGTGACTATCATATTCGTCGGCCTATGAATTCGTGTCATACTCAATAAGCGTCCTGCTGACGCTACTACACAAATTCGAAGATTCATTGATCAAATTTGTCCTTTCTGTGCACAAAACTGAAACCACATTCACCTCGAAATTGCATGGAATTAAAATATGTAGATATAACGGATTGTACGAAAGTTAGGTCTCCAATATAAAGTAAAACATGACGAATATGTTTGTTCACTTTAATGTAAACATGGATTTTTTTGTCTTCCGATTTACTTGATACAAAATTATTGTTTCAATATAACAGTGCATCTTCTTACAGCAATGGTAATGACTAAAAGTGAAACCCAGGGAAAAATAAATAGTAAATAAAATACCAGAAAAAAAAATAATACTATAAAAAACATCAGATTATTAAATTTTTAAGCGATCAAAAGTCTAAGGAAAGTCACTGACTTATCCTAAAGAGAGATAAAAGCCCAATAAATGATTGAATTCAACAAATATATTAACAACAGCTATTTTCATATGGCAAGAAACAGAACACGCCGGGATACACTATATTAGTGTTAATTTTTATAGTTCATCACGAGAAAATGAGCTAAGCCTACTACGCGAATGCAACGCGCGTTACGTTAAAACTTATGACAATACTTGATTATATATTACATATCGTGCAAGAACGTATAATTACTTCTGCATTACCACGTGATTCAGTACTACGTAAAGAATATGCAGTTAAAACTAGAAAAGCCACTAGTCAATATTATTCATAGCGTATTGCGCTGGTACTGTCGTATTATCATTATTTCCTGTCGATAAATCTTCGAGAACAGCAATAGCAAATTCTAAGGACATTGGAATGCTTTTATTCATCCTCACCACTCGTTATTGTATTCTCTGGTTTCTCTGTATACCTAGTTGTACCATCAACTGAAATCGATAGATTCAACAAAAAAATTGCACAAAGATTAGTAACTATAAATTAAATCGAAATTTACTACTAAAGTATAGCATCCCGTACCGAAAAAAAAAGTTCATATGAAAATGTAAAGTTTCAGCAAAGTATACGCAAGGAAACTCTTGGATAAATCCATAAACCCAAATATTATTGACTTACACTAATCTCATGACTGCATGTTATGTCGATCAATTTCCTGCCACTCGTTTTATGGTTCACGGTAAACATCCTGATAGATTTCCAGAAGAACGAGCGAAATATAAAGAGCTGGGACGGGAAGATGGTAAAAGGATACGGGAGGAGGTCCAGGGGGAGAACGACGACGGAGAAAGGGTGCAGGGCATCGGTTGACGAAAATTTATCGGAAATCGAGCCGTTCTGAGGTTAGGTCGACTCCTCGTAGATTTTTTTACGGATAGGAGGAGCAGACGCCATTCCCGTAAAATCTCGCTACACACTAACACAGTTTGATTGAATCTAGGTCTGCTGGCGTCTAGCAATAATACACGAACGAGATAGGCGAAGAGAGATGAAACTAAAGTAGAAGGAAAAGGACAGAGAGAAATACAAACGTCGTATTACGATTTGCCGTTTTATCGGT